TCATTACTATTCGTCTTTTGTATTTCTTGGCTTTCTTTTGTTCTATTGTTATTTGGAAGTAAGGAAAGAACTGGGAGGAGAATGTTGACATGTCTTTAGAAAATACGTCATTTTCTCTGGAGTATTAATTCTATACTGTCATAATATATTAAATAAATGCCTAGATAGATAGATAGATAGATAGATAGATAGATAGATAGATAATGAGCAGAATTAGATAAATATAAACAGAAGGATACATGCAGATAGATAGATAGATAGATAGATAGATAGATAGATAGATAAAGAAAAGAATGAGATAGATATGAACAGAATGATATATGCTAATAGATAGATAGATAGATAGATAGATAGATAGATAGACAATGAGCAGAATCAGATAGATAGATAGATAGATAGATAGATAGATAGATAGATAGATAGATAGATAGATAGTGAGTAGAATAATATAGATTGATCGATAGATGAGTAGAAAGAGATAGATAGATAGATAGATAGATAGATAGATAATAGATAGATAGATAATGAAAAGAGAGAGATATGAACAGAAGGATACATGCCTATATATATATATATATATATATATATATATATATATATATATGAGTAGAATGAGATATATAGATAGATAGATAGATAGATAGATAGGAAGAAGGGTTTACAGGTGGCTGCTACACGGTTTCAGATATGGGCAGTTCAAATGAGTAGGAAAACTTTTATTTTAAACTGAAAAATAAAAGTGATTTTTTTACCCGTTTTCGTTCTAATACATACCCACTTCCTTAGCATGAACAAATGGATGTTATTAAAGAATTTGGGAGAAATAACGAAAATACAAAACTTATTAAGAGCTACAACGAACAGGACGATGTGGAGGGCCATGATCGCCTGCGTCATCAACAGACACGTCTCATAAAAGAAGATATTAAAATAGAATTTGGTGAAGATGTGTGGACGCAAATATCTTAATGGCTACTAAAAACGTCGAAAGGTTTTCATCACTAATAGTCTTGCATATTTCTTTGGTTTGTTTTGTTGGCGTTTCTTTCTGTCGTCATGAAACTGTCAAACAAAAACTTCATCACAATAAAGGTTTCGTAAAAATCTATTCGGTCCTTTCTTTGAGCGTGGGACTCAACAGGTGTTTTTGCTTTTAGCTACCTGTGCATATTACCCTCCGGATTCGATGTCTTTTCTTTTATAACCTTCCACACAGGACCTATTGTAAATTTCTTCGTTTATTATTTGATTAATGAACAAGTTAATGAAGTTATTCTGTTTACACCATCAAAGGCCAGAGTCCCACAGGAAAGAGTGATTTCAATTCTTTGCGCTCTACAACCGAAGCTTTGTTACAAACTTGTATTAAGCTTAGTGAATATAATTGCTTTTCATGCCTGACTTCCATCATCATTACTCTGGTGGAGTGATATAATTTAGCACTAACTGCTATGTTACAAAATCGTGGAGAGCCATGATTGCGAACGTCCTGAAAAGACACGACTCAAAGAAGAAGAAGAATGAGGAGAAGAAGAAGAAGAAGAAGAAGAAGAAGAATGAGGAGGAGGAGGAGGAGAAGAAGGAAGAAGAAGAAGAAGAAGAATGAGGAGGAGGAGGAAAAGAATGAGGAGGAGGAGAAGAAGAATGAGAAGAAGAAGAATGAGGAGGAGGAGAAGGAGAAGAATGAGAAGAATGAGAAGAAGAAGAAGAAGAAGAAGAATGAGGAGGAGCAGAAGAAGTAGAATAAGAATAATAAGAAGAATGAGTAGGAGGAGAAAAAGAATAAGAATGAGGAGGAGGAGGAGAAAAAGAAGAAGAAGATGAAGAAGAAGAATGAGGAGAAAAAGAATGAGGAGAAGAAGAAGAAAAATGAGGAGGAAAAAAATCTAATAAGTCAACACTGACCGATGACCTATTCGTGTGGCCTTGAATTCATGTTGAAATTTCCAGGGTACATGATGAAGAAAGAGTGCTTGGAAAATTTGATACTCAAAGGTATTATTGAAAGTAACAAGGACAGAGGAAGGTAACGCATAACCAACCTAATGAGCTTGTGTAAATGTTTGGTAGAACAGGGACTAGAAGAGATGGCGAAAATACAAAAATTATTAAGGGCTATAAAGAACAGGAAATTGTGGAGACCACCCAACATTCGCTGCTGTATAGGAGGACAGATGTCACGTAGCAGTTCAGTAACAAATGCGACACTTAAAATCAGAATCAGAAAGAGACAGGTGAAATTTCTTGGACACATGATAAAGAAAGAGTACACTCACATGACATATTGAAGGTAAATGTGAAAGGGGAAAAGAGTGAATAGCCTGCCTAACAATCTTGTGTAAAGGCTTGGCAGGATAGGGATTAGGAGATATGGTGAAAATATGAGATTTATTAAAGGCTATAAAGAACAGGAAATTATGGAGAGCTATGATTTCCCACGTCCTGAAGAGACACGACACAAAGAAGAAGTGAAATAAGTGAACACTGACTGGTCCATTCATGTGGCCTTGAACTGTTGAAATTTCCAGAGTACATAATGAGGAAAGAGAACTTGGAGAATTTGATACTCACCGGTGTTATTGAAAGTATCAAATAAGTGTTATGCAATAGTTTAAGTTAAAAGATTAAATATTTTCTTCTCAAAAATATTCACTATATGGTTCTACAGAAGGATGCTGAGAATACCATTAACTGAACACATAAACAACAAAGAACTCTTAAAGAAAATAAAAAACAAATTTTCTTTTTCTTTTTCTGTACCGTGTCCTTTCAAGACGTAGGCGATCATGGCTCTTCACTTCCTCCTATCCCTTGTAACTCTCAAGAAGTTTTGTTCCTCTGCCAACTCCTCCAGACCATTTTCTGCCATCCATTTGCTTAAGCCTGCCAGGTATGTCATGCGTTGCTTTCCCCTGTCTCTTTTTCTCTCTGTTCTCAGTATCAGATTCTTCAGGTCTTCATTTCTCATTATGTGTCGCAGACATTTCATCTGCCTCTTCCTTATTTTAAGTATAAGCTTCTTCCTTGTTTGCATCCTCTCCAAGACCTCATCGTTGCTCATGCACTTGCTCCATGATTTCCTTAGCATCCTTCTGTAGAACCACTTCTCTACTGCCTTGAGTCTCTTCTTCATCTTTGAGGAGACCACCCAACATTCGCTGCTGTATAGGAGGACAGATGTCATGTAGCAGTTCAATAACAAATACGACACTTAAAATCAGAATCAGAAAGAGACAGGTGAAATTTCTTGGACACATGATAAAGAAAGAGTACACTCACATGACATATTGAAGGTAAATGTGAAAGGGGAAAAGAGTGAATAGCCTGCCTAATAATCTTGTTTAAATGCTTGGCAGAATAGGGATTAGGAGATATGGTGAAAATACGATATTTATTAAGGGCTATAAAGAACAGGAAATTGTGAAGAGCTATGATTTCCCACGTACTGAAGATACACAACACAAAAAAGAAGTGAAATAAGGGAACACTGACTTATCCATTTATGTGGCCTTGAACTGTTGAAAATTCCAGAGTAAATAATGAGGAAAGGGAGCTTGGAAAATTTGATACTCACCGGTGTTATTGAAAGTAAGAGTGACAGAGGTAAGTAGAGCATAACTTACCTAACTAGCTTTGTTGTTAGAACATGAATTAGGAGAGATAGCGTTAAAGACAAGATTTACTAAGAGCTACAAAGAACAAGAGATTGTGGTGATATTTGCAGATAGATAATAAATGTAATTTTTTCCTCATTGATATCACTCTGAGTTCCATACACAATGCAACCATCGCGTGTTGATATCAACATCTGACAAATTCATTGTACAAAAATGTATATTTACTATTAATACAAATTATATATCTGTTATCGAGTATTATACTGTCATGGGTCCTTACCTATAACTACAGAATGAACTCTTCTTAACACTATGTATACTACGCCTCTCAAGAGAGAGGGACGAATCAAGCCGAGCTTCTCGACTTGACGGTCGAACTCTCTGCCTCTGAGCAGAGAGGAACCCGGACGAGGCTCCGCCGAACGGCAGAGTCTCGTTCGGGCAGGTTGACCAACCCGATCCCGTTTACACGGGTTCTACGGGCATTTTTGGCCGAGTCTACGGGCTCGGGAAACCCACGTTAAACTCGGCCTTGTGCCACATGCAAACCTTCGTGGTGGGGTGGCTAGATATCGAATCGAGTCGAGCTGATAGTAGTTCACTCCAAACGAGACTGACAGTCACACTAACACCTTCCACACCTTGTATTATTATTTCGTGTAATATGCCTTCGTTATTTCTACTCTTGTATTCGTGGTGTTCTTTCCTTGGTCCTAACCTGGACCATAACATATACTCACCTTGTGTAGGTCATACTTACATGGCTTATGCCAGAGGGTATCCCCCAGACGAGGCACTGCTGAAGGGCAGAGTCTTGTCTCGGGAAACTGACGCCGTTTTTACGTGGTCTGTAGGGAATTTTGACCCGAGCTTGCGGGCTCGGATACCTCACTTTAAACTCGGCCTTCTGCCACATCTTTCTGCGTGTGGCAGCGGGTAAATAATTATCGAGTATTATTTTATTAACATCAGCACTCGATATGCGATATTATATATACATGTTCGGGCTAAATTTTACATTTTTTAAAAAGAAAACAAAATGAATATCTAAGCCAAAAAATCAATTTATTGCAAACATAGAAAAGCGACATACAGGTTATAATAATCAAAAGACAATTCACTCAGCATCTACCACGTCCTCGACCCGACTCCGGAATCTAGCACATGCGGCGTTCACGATGTCCCTCGGGAGAAACCCAAACGCTGTCGATCAGCTGGGTCTTGCTGTTACAGGGAATACGGTTGGTGTCTTTCTCTACCGTACCCCACACATAATGATCAATGGGATTACAATCAGGGTACTTAGGCATACAATTTTTCTATTGAAATTGTTTGATGACATATACGCCATCATTACACCATTTACCTGATCGATAGCTTACTTCCATAACATGTTTAAAACACCGGTTCTCGTACGATCAACGAAGTTAAGTAACGTCGAGCTTGGTCAGGACCTAGATGGGTGATTGCCTGGGAATACCAGAAGCTGTAACCTTGGATGTGCGTGTGATGTAATGGATAACGGCTCAGAATTTGGAAACCAGAGAGACGAGTTTCATTCAGTAAATCATTCTTATCTTCAGTATCTGCCTATATTTCTGAGATGAGGTATTATGTACATTATTTACATTATTCGGACTATTGTCCTCATCTTTGTTGCCATATTTATTACAACGCTTCGCTCGTTGTACGCTCCAGCCTTCTTCAGGTAGTTGGAATGTCGAACGGAACCCATTATTTCCCTCACTGGGATAGACTGTTCTTATTTCAGGTGCCATGTTTAATGGATGCCAGTTATCAGTTATCTCCTGCTAATTTCCCTCTGAGAGTTCTCCCCTATCTTAACCGGGTATTGAACTCACACTCTTTGGGTCCTGTCACTGGATCTAACTAAGCTTTATCCACTGTGCCATGTATCCATGAGGATCTTAAGATCTAAAAATATTTTCTAGTTTTAAATAACCTACAAAAGGTTGATAAATCGTAAAAAAAACATTTAAATTAATCAATCAAGTGCCAGAATGAAATTCATATTGGCTTGTAAGGAGTTGACTTTCATAGGACTGTGAGGGACTAGTTAATATAATGATCATTCGTACTTTCACCATAATGAAACCAATTCAGATAGCTCTGCTTGGGGGCACCGAGGACTACATGCTCGTTTCCGCAGTGTATTAATGCGTAAAGCACCAGGAATAAAGTCTTGCTGTCTACACTGGAGTTTGAACACAGATCACCAAAGAGAAAACACAGGTGATCCCATTCTGAATAAGTAGATCAGGTGATGCTAAAAGAAATGTATATATGGGAATTAGAGCAGCGTCTAATTGATCACTATTTTTACTCTATCCTCTATTGCTATACGGATCACCATTTCTATTCTATCCTCTATTGCTACACGGTTCGCTATTCTCTATATATTTCACTATTTCTATACTATTTCTCTATACTATTCACTATACTCTTTCTCTATACGGATCACTATACAGATTACTATTCGGATCAGTATTCGGTGGTTACTTTTCGAGCGAGTATTATCCATTTACTACTATTAGTGTGAGTGATATTCGAAGGCAACCGACATCAGCATTGTTCAACGGCGTACTATAGTTGTATTTGCAATTACAAAGTCTCTACTACAACGAGCATTACGAAAGTGACAACGAGTATTCGTTGACATCGCAAAAGTGGCAACGAGTGTTCGTTGACATCACAAAACTTTTATCCAATGCGCTTCTGATAACTGACTTTCACATGAAACTGAGAAAGTTGTTTTTAAATTCGGGAGGAGGGTTTGCCATTTTCAAAAGTTCAACCTGACTGTCAAGTGTTTTCTTTTTTTTTTTGTAATATTTTTTTAACTTTTTGTAGCTTTCTTGACTTTCTCATCACGAAGTTCGTTATTGTTTACGTGTGAAGACAGATTTATAATGGTCAGATTATACTTGTGTATATTCTAATTCCGCAGGCATCTTCCGCTTACGTTGTTACTCAAGATGTTTCTTGAAACCCAGACGTTCATTATCTTTTAGTTCCAATTTTATGATTTTATGTGATTTTTCACGTTTCTCTTCAATTCAAGTCTATGGTGTTTTCCGTCGTTAAATTGGTTTTCACGGATATTGATTTGTCAGAGGATAAACTAGTTAGTTTGGTAGATACATAGACAGATAGATATGCAGAGACTGAAATATATGGATAAAAGGAGAAAGATTGTGCAAACTAAAATTATATATATATATATATTGGCTAGTGTAGTCAGTTTATATATATATATATATATATATATATATATATATATATATATATATATATATTCATTGATGCGTGTTTCATTAAATAATATAATTCCGGAAAATCCTTCTTGAAAATACAACTATACTTAAACATGAAAATAATAAAAAAAAACATACATATATATATATATATATATATATATATATATATATATATATATATATAATATACAATATGGTAATCCGTATTGAATTTCCAGGAGAATATATGCAGGGAGAGCTCTAAGTCAAAAGACAGAGCAAAATTATTATTAATTAAATTTAATATTATTTACAAATAATTTGTTGAATGAAATATATCAGCATTTGATTTTTGGCTGTTGACAAGTCAAGACGGGATTGTTTCCAATTCACACTGAACTGACTACACTTTATGCCCCTCCCCCTTCATATTAATGTTAAATCTGAAATCAGTATATCAAATTAGGTCAACTCTTTGCCTTTTCACGCTCTCTAAATAAGATACCAATATTTCTTGATTTTAATCCGGAGTGGTTTTTTCTATTTCATTTGTGATTTTCTTTGAGGACATGAAGATTGAGAGCTGCTTTTTTAGAACTCTCATGAAATAAAAATTATTACCTATGGGATTTTAAGTGTTTGATATTCTTTAATTAATAATAATGATAATAATGGTAATAATAATAATAATATTAATATCTATATCTATATCTATATATATATATATATATATATATATATATATATATATATATATGTGTGTGTGTGTGTGTGTGTGTGTGTGTGTGTGACAGATAGATAGATAGATAGATAGATAGATAGATAGATAGATAGGAACAGACTCCGAGAAATCGATATGACCACCTGAGATAGATCAATAGATAGTTAGAACAGGTGATCCGCTTAGCTGAAATCTGTGTAGATTTGTCTGGCTCACTAGGTTTATATATATATATATATATATATATATATATATATATATATATGTGTGTGTGTGTGTGTGTGTCTATGTATCTAGCTAGCTTACTAGATATATATATATATAGAGAGAGAGATTTGGGTGAGTCAGAGGGAGAGTTTGAGTAGGGATAGATTGGGATAAACTGAGATGCATAGATGCATATATACATAAATAAATACACAGAAAATAATTCGATCGATCTACGATTGGTGAAGCCTCATTCAGTTCCCTCCAACATGCTTTTACTGTAACTGAGCATTAATTCTTTTCTATTTTACTCTTTGTCTTTTCATATTTTTTTTCTTAATTTTTACTCTTGTTTTTCATTTTCTAAAAATATTTTTATAGTTAGGCTTCACATGATCACTATTTCCGATTTTTCTCTGCCATTTTGTCGTGTGGATTATAAAAATAGAAGAACAATACCTGGAACTAAAGGGAGACAACTGGTAATTGATTACTATGGACATATTCCTTTTTAATTGTTCATGACAACTGCCATGACTCACAACAAGCCTCGATTCTGTTTCCTCCTTTGTTAATGCAAAGGTGCACGTAGATTCATATGCATCCCATAGCAATGAAATTATGGGGGTTTAAAAAGTAAGAGAATGAGCGAGGTTATAAAATAGTAGTAGAGAAAGTGGAAAGAAGGAGAAAGAAGAAAAGGTTAAGAGAGAGGGAGAAAGAAGAAAAGGTTAAGAGAGAAGGAGAAAGAAGAAAAGGTTAAGAGAGAAGGAGAAAGAAGAAAAGGTTAAGAGAGAAGCCTACAGAAAGCAAGAAAGGAAAGAGATCAATAGAAATAAAGATATCAGTGGCCAAATGGTTACAGCGTTATATCCGCGTTCGAATCTAACCACGGGCGGTGAGATAAGAAGGTGACGTCTTCATAATATCGTGAGTAAGAGATGGTCATAGTAAACGGTACTTTTACGAAGTTTCTAAAAAATCATAACAATCCTATTTTTATCATTTCACCTCAAGCAAGGCAGCAAAGCCATTAAGACGTCGCGGGGGTGGGGGTAAGAGAATAGGAGAAAAATGACAATCCTATTTTTATCATTTCAACCCAAGCAAGGTAATAAAGTCATTAAGACACGGGTGGGGGTCGTAAGAGAATAGGAGGAAAATGACACTCTTATTTCTATCATTTCACCCCAAGTAAGGCAATAAAGACACTAAGACGCTGGGGGGGGGGGTAAAACAGTAAAAGAAAATTACTATTAAAGAGAGTGAACAACAAAAGACCGGGAATTTAAAAAAAAAACAAAAAAAAACAGAAGATAACGATTGAGATTGTGTTTAACTTCATGAAAATCAAATTTGACTGTAAAGCAATAAGCCGGAAGAGATTTTCACAAACGAGAAGTGCAAGAGAAGAAACTGTTAACATAGAACTTACGGTTACATATAGACATTTCAGCTGTAAAATGATGAGACCTGGCCGACAATCGCATGTTTTCCGCAAGCGAAAAGTGCAAGAGTGCAAATCTGAGAGCCTAAACCCTACGGTTACATTTAGCCATTTCAGCATTAAAATGGCGAGAAATTGCCGCCAAATCTGCTACCGCGCCTAAATAACATTGCAAATACTTCTCTGAATTTCATCAAGAATCTCGACATATATAGCAGAAACACCAGACCAGATATGTCAACGATATTCAAATCAAAGACTGATTACTATGAGAAATACTGAGGTTAACTAAACAAAGAAATAGGATATGATATATTCTGTGAAATTGAGAATTATTTAAGATAATGTATTGAGTCTAGAACAAGAGTCTTCAAGAGAATTCAGAAAGCACTGACTGCAATTTCGTCCTTTTGGGGACTCGTCAGCAGCGCGCATTCACTACCAAGAATCGAATCCAGACCGTTACGATACAACACAAGCGTCATACTACTGGACTATCGGGCGTCGGTGACGAAAAGGAAACTACCTAGACTCAATATAGCACAGCTACTCCTAATTTCGGTGGTGATACACATCCAAGCATATATAACCCACTGGAACCGGTCCCAAGAATATATATATATATATATATATATATATATATATATATATATATATATATATATACGTTTCATTAAATAATATAGACAAGTGTTGTCTATTTATTTTATGTAAATTTTTTTCGTAACATCTGATAAGTTTAATAACGCTTTTATCCATCCATCACAATAAAAATTCGTAAAATAAAGCTTCATAAGTTTTTACTATATTATATTTATTTGATTTATTATTGGCACTCACTGTCTTAAAAGCAGCAGATA